CCCTTGACATGGCACCAAATGGTTTGGCCCAATTTGCTGCTTCCAGGCTTTACGAGTTCTCAGGTCATGGCCACACCTGTTGCTCAACCAGGAAGTAACCGCCCCAAACAATAAGGTAACTCAAAGGTTGCGTTCGAATAGTCCATTTAGCTTAGGAACCTTCCTAACCGAGTGAAATGACCCGGAAGTCCCTCAGTGGCAGCCATGATAAGTGCCATTCAAATTATAGGAAAGGATCTCAAACTTCCTTTATAACCTCCTTTAGCTTAAGAACCACTGGACCTCCCTAACCGAAAGGAGAGGAGAAAATGATGCCCCACAATGCCTTGCAGCCGCAGCATTTGAGTCACACAACAGTCGGCCGTTCACGGAAACAAACGATTATGACGGAGAAATTATATCATGAAAGTTACGGTGCTTATTAAGCATTTTAAAACGTATGTGGTAAGTTGCCAAAGTGCTTCTTTTTTTTTTAACGTTCATCAGTATTATAATCAAAAAGAGAAATATGAACGTTAGTTTTTAATGAAATGATCAAATAAAGTCAACATTTCTCTTTACTGAGCTGTGTGGGGTTTGTTCAACATTTAAAAGATGTTTGAATAGTGATATACACAGTGATAGATGTTAAAGACTAACATTTATAATAAATACATTTGTATTGATTTTAAGATATTTCATAGTTCATACAATCATACGTATTGGGATCATTTGTGTTAATGTGGACCGGAGGGAGAGGGTGACGAGCATAAGTTTCACTTTTTTATTTCAATTCCAATTTTGGTCATGAAGAATATGTTTCTCTGTTGTTCATAAAGCATAAAGCAACAGCATCAGAGCACGGTGCAGAGTCTCTAGAGGAGTCCCTTGTTCTTATTAAACATCCATGTTGTAGTCCGTTGTATAGAAAACTGTAGTTTCCCCACAGCAGCAGACGCACACAATGACGTCCGCTGGCGCATCACAAACACGTCGGATAGTGAAAGTGCATTCGGATTCTCTAAAGTACCGCAGTCTCTTCTCCTAAGTCCTTTTGAATTCTCCTATCCACTATCCCTTAACCCCGTGACGTTTCACTCAGAGGTCAAGGAATAGGAGATAGGGTCAGAACTTAGGAGCTGATTTTTAAACTATCCGAACGCAACCAAAGACTTAGAACAGATAATGAAGACAGTAAATGGGGTTTGCGGCTCTAAGTGCTCAATAACTTTAAGAAGTTAATTTCGGTTTCTTTTAACTGTGAAAATGTGTTGAATCCAAGTAGTTTTAGTTGCATAAACTCTAAAACAGTGCTGGTCTACTTCATCTCAGGTCTTCTAATTAACAATGATTTCAGTGATGTTTGCATGTTGTCCATTAACTTTGTTGTATGTCTAACCTTTGTATTACTTTACAAAAGGACATTTTAGATTGATCTCCTTTCAGACAGCTAATGGTTTCAATCGTTCGTCAAATACCGACTTTTGTCAAGTGCCTTGGTGTCTGATCCAACTCAAAAGGCACTCTTTAGCATTGAAATGAGTCGCATCGGGAATTTAACTCAAACCCAAACAATTGTCAACAATATTGTAAGCTCAGAGGTGTCGATGAATGGTTGGATTGGACCACAGGACTTTCACTCAGAGAAATGCAGCTTGTGTTCCTTGTAAAGTTGACTTGCATTTGGAGGGTTGATTTTTAGACAGTTGACTTATATTCATTTACGAACGCAAGTTACCTATATAGTGTTTTAAAGTTGCGCATGTAACAAACAAACTTATTTTAAGCCCAAACCTTCATTTATTCCTAAAATGAATCAAGCTGTTCTGTTGCATGCACTCGAGTGAGACCAAAGCGTCATGACCAATCATCTGTACCTGACTAGTTTTTGATTTAAAGTTTTTTGTTATTGTGTTCTAACAACCTTCAGAATGAGGTACAACCAAAACAAACCATTTATTTTCACCGAATCCATGTGTTTATTTTCTTGTTTTGACATGACAACCTAGCCTAGCTATAGTTTTTTTTGTTTGGTTGGTTTGTGACTCACACTGACAATTTTGACAATATTCCCTCAGTTTATATCTTTTGTCATTGGAAACAATGTGTGGTGTGATGGGTTTTTTGTGGGAAATAAAAGGCTTGGGCTGGCAAGACTGTCAAAAAAGTGTTGTTGGACATTTGGACAAGACAGGGCCACAGTATACGCTACACAGGACCTGCTTTAGTTTACATTATGCATTTCAAATGAATTTAATCGACTGAATAAACAAACAAACAAACAAATGATTGAGATAAATAAATCTTAGTATTTTGGGGACTGTAACTGGTAAAAAATAAACACATTACAGAGAGTCGCGGTGTGTTTACTGTCCTACATGTCTGACGATATCAACGCTTTTAACATGGACCGTTTTTTAAAATACTCTGGTGTAAAGTAACTAAATACATTTAATCAAGTACTTTACTTAAGACACATTTTGAGGGACTTGTACTTGACGTGAGTATTTCCATTTGACGCTTTGTACTTCTACTTCACTGCAATTCAGAGGTCAATGGTGTACTTTTTACTCCATTGTATTTAATACCTTCAGTTACTTTACAGATCTGGATGAATGATGTGAAATATAATCAAGTGTTAAATAAGACTTTAGTTCCACCTGGAGTAAATTTACAAGCTACCCTGCAGTATACAAAGTCATTCGAACTTTTGAAACAACATCCATAACATTCATCTGGCTGCAACTTAGAAATTATGTATCTAATATCATATTCCAATAACTTGTATATACTCTTATTGCACTATTTCACTATTCTACCATTTTCTTTTGTATTTACTTACACAATTTTTTCTGTTTTTCTGTTTTATTGTGTTTTCTGTTGGAGGAGCCTGTGACCTAAGATTTTCATCGACATAACTACACTGTAGCTATGCACGTACAGTATGACTAATAAAAGACTTGAATCTTGATAATACTTTAATCCATCAATAATTATAAAACATATCTTATTCTGAAATGGACCAATCTGCACAATGACTACTTTTACTTTTGGTACTTTAAAGGTCGTGTAGGTAAGTTTGAGAAACCGGCTTGATTTACACTTTTTGTTATATTCCATGGAATGCTCTTAACATCCGATAGCAATGAATAAAAAAATCTCATCTGTGGAAGCCGTGGCGCTGTAAAAAGCACGAACAATCATTTTAGCCGGCCCGGCTAAAATAACTGGATGGCCTACCTGCCTGTCAGCCTTCCATCTGTGCACAAACTTATCTCGTGCCCTCATTGGTCATGTGCTTGTTCGTGTGTGTTGGAGGAGGGGCTCTGTAAGGAAGTAGCAGATCCAAAATTACCTACCCCACCTTTAAGTTGTATTGACGCTAATACTTTTGTACTTTTATTCGAGTAACATTTTGAATGCAGGACTTGTAGCCTACTCGTAACAGAATATTCCTACACTCTGGTAGGCTACTTCTACTTTTACTCAAGTACAATATCTGAGTAGGCCTACTTCTCTGAAATCCACCTCAGCAGGAACAGATTTAAACATGCTTGCACGTGTGTGTTTTTAACAACAACGAGTGGGTCTGTGCTGTTCTTTATGGGCTGTTACACGGCTTTTAGTTAGTTTGAGAGGGAGAGGCATGAAGGGCCAGCAGGCAGGACCACTTTACACGGCAACAAATAAGCCTTTATGTCGTCCCTGCACCTGTGTGTGTTCTCTCACAGAAACCTGCACACACTGGTTGTAATTTGCAGAAATAGGCCAGTCATTTCATACCTGCAGGTACAGGGGGAAAAGCAAAAAAATAGGTGCTGCAAAGTATTTCCAGAGGTGGGTTTTGGTGCTGTTGTGGTTTAAGTGGTGAGGTGACCCATAGGGGGGGGGGAGGTGGTACCATGCAGCTTGAACACTTGTTTCGTGCACTTGTTGTCTAACCAATACAAAAGCAATAGCTGAAATGCATATTGAGAGAGAGAGATGCATCGATACATAGGAAACATAGGAAAAAAGGCATGAAAAATCAATCGTAAATATGAAATGAACACATTCAAAAAAAGTTGTATTTAATGTATTTTTAAGCCTAATAAGGATTCTCTGCATTCCAGAGGGGAAACAGAATCACCTTTCCCTGTCCCAATTAACCCGATCCAAAATGAAAGCAGCCAATCACCGCATCAATCATCCAATCAATCCAACCAACAATTTTTCTTTCAAATCTATTTCATTTTTCTACAGATTTCCGTGTGTTTGCTGTGTGAGCGGCGGTGCTGGGTGAGAGTATAAGCTAGGTGGCCGCACGAACACATTTATTACGCCGAGGCTGTGCCAGACGCACATGGGATCCGTGCTGCGTACCGGGGATCTTCAGCAACCCGCAGCCGAGCGGAGGGGACCTGAGCCCGGCGTGGAGCAGCACTCAACCTTCCTGGACTCTTCCTCTGACCCCACACTGGAGAACATCTCCACATTTCCGAGGTGATCTTTCCTCTCGGCGTGTTATTTATTTATATCCGGACCCTGACAGTCATCCGCGGCGGACGAACTGCGCCTTAACGCGGAGAGGTCGGACTTGTTTGGCTGGGGAACACACACCAACACACACGCGGAAACACTCCGGTCCTCTCGCCTCTCTTTCTTTTTTATTTCCTGCCAGCTTTTTTCTCGACATTTCTATCGAACCAGGAGCTCGGAGGATGAACTAGAATCGCGATCGCTTGTGTTTCACTGGATTTATTTCGCTGTGGAGGAAAAAAGAGATCCCGGAGAGGAGCGGTGCGCAAAAAGCCGAGGTGTTCCTCTTCTCTCCTCTCCCTCTTTATCTCCATCTATCAATCTGTCTACCTGTCCTCTCCTGTCCATCTGTCTCTTCATTTGTTTCCCCTGTTTGTAGGTCCGTGAGATTTTGCTAAAATGCATCATCAACAGCGGATGGCAGCTTTGGGAACGGACAAGGAACTGAGCGACTTATTGGATTTCAGCGCGGTAAGGACATGTTTTTAGTTCTTGTTGATATGAATATAACGAGTAGTATCGTGGCAGTACAAGCCGTAGAAGAACATTCAACGGGTCCTTACAGCGACCACTGTTTACACTGTTAATATTGCACAGTAACCTGCATATTTCTAGCCCTTTAACTAAACATGTAAAGAGTAAAGTTGCAGAAAAGTCAGTGCATATTGTTGTTTTTTCATTTTTGTTTCTGTGTGTGTGTGCAGAGATTTGTGATGCTGCATTGGTAATTTTGTTGTCTTATAGATGCGAAACAGCGATTTGAAAATGTTCCCAACATCCATGGTAGTATATCTCATTTAAGTCCTTTTTTTCATTCATATGTCTACTGCTTTTTCTGCCCATGATTTAGAAAAGTGTTTGTATTTAAATCTATTTGTGGGCTGCTCCATATACGCACCGTGAAGCTTAAGGCTCGACCATGAACCTGCAGGACGGAAAAGAGAGGAGAGTGTCACACGTTCTCTACGCAGTTTTAATGTGCAACTGCTTTTCAAAGTTTGTGTCTTTTTAAAAAAAGAAAAGAAAAAGAGGTTAAAGGACAGTGTGTGTTCCGAACTTGACGGCAGGAAACAGTGTCCGGCTCTCGGCCATGTTTTCTGCGCGCCTCTCCTCCTCTGGGAGCAACTTTGGCCCGAAGAGGAGGAGGGGAAAAATGTAAAACATCCCAAAATGAGAAAAAAAAAACCAGGCTGACATTAATATTGTTATTGAAAGAAAATATCACCACTACAGGAGTGATGCTGAATTAGAAATAGCAAATATAGGATACAAAATCACCACATTTTACGGAATTATTTTCATTCATAATGCAATAAATGCACAAGATCACAGCTGAGGCCTGCATACACAATGTAAGTGATCTAGGAGTTTCATTGTGGACACTGTTAACAATAAAAGGTCTTGATATAAGAGGAATCAGACTAGTGATGCTGCTCAAAATGCACATACATATGAAGTTAAATACACATTTATGTAGCTTTCAATCTATACTCAATGGTAATGTGATAAACAGGTTTGATACGATCACAGCTGAGGCCTTCAGACACTGTACTGTAACTGACACTGAGAAGCATTGTAGAAATAAATCAAAGGAGATGTGAATTAAAAAGTTATTAAAACAACAAAACCTACACAATTACTTCCTATAGCTTTACTGTATTGATTTTGAATCAACCACTTCAGGTCATACAGTATTGATCAATTTAACATAAAACTTGATATTTCTGATTATCATGAGAATATTGTATGATTGTTTTATAATTTTTTTTTTTAATTGTCATGTAAAAATGTATAACAACAGGCATTTCATATTACTCTATAGCAATATTTGTATTGTAATATGTGCTGTATTGGCTTTCTAGGCCTGTATATATCATAAACACATTGTTTGATTACCCATAGAAATTAAAAAGCACAATTGTTTTAAACAAAATCCCTATTAACATCATTTAGTGGTACTCTCATTATCTCCAGTAATTTAATACATAATTGAGAAGCAAAGAGACATATTAAATCTCTTTAGGAATATTGTAAATCTATTGATAGACTGGCAGCAATTATGTTTAAACAATAAATAATGTACAATGCTCTTTATTAATATTACTGGTAACAAAAATATCACTAAATCACCATCAATCTTATTATGAGTGGAAGATTTATGCTCCAAAGATAATAATTATGGACAAAAGTTCAAAACAAAACCTCACAATATCATAATTTAGCAGCAGTAGAGCTGTTTGACACAAATATTAGACATTTAACCTGTGTTTGAATTTGAACAGATTTCCAAAAAATGTCAATCAGCCTGTCGTCAAATTAAATGTCTTGAGAAAATATTCAAACAAAGGAGGGCAGCAGCAGCTAGAACGTATCTCCTCTCATTATAAACGCAGGCCGGTCGCATTAATTTATGCGATCATCTGTCTCTGCACGCCCACAAGCTGACACCCGCAGCTCAGAGCGCTTCGGCTGGGATATCGATAGACCTGCTAATAATCCCAACTCCATCTTTTATCTCCCGAGCATTTGTTTTCACGTTACCGCCGCGAGGGAGCAACCCCAGTATCCAACATACACATTACAGGCCCCGCATTAGGAACAATGACAGATCCAGCGTTTATTGTTGCAGTTTTAATTACCTATATTGTGTTTATTTCAAAAGACAAGAACAAATCCCGTAAAGGTTTTTTAACATCTGAAAGTAGGAGATCACTGAGATTTCACCATCAAACACAGCGACACAGGCCTGGTGTTTTTTCCCCACAGAGGTTATCTAGCTGGGTCACATGTCTCACTTTGAACAGTTTGTTTTTGCTGTACAGTAGCTCGTACTTTAGAACAACAGGAATCAGTATGCAGTGTCCGTCTCAACGTGGGCTTATTTTCCTGTAGATGTATAGAACAGATGGTAACTGATGATCTCATATGTTTAAGATATGAAGCAGATATGAAGGGTTTCAATCCAACCATCAGCCGTCCAACATTTGGCGAACGTTTGAATGACACAACATGTAGAGTAAAATTGAGCAGGTGATTTTAAAAGTGAGCCTGTTTTTATTTTTCACAGATGTTGAATGAGCAATTATAAAATGTTATTCTGCTCCCCCAACATTTTTCCCAGTGTTTTGGACAAATAACTCTTCATATCTGTGTTCAACTCTGAGCTGAGTGATCATTAGGGCTTTTTGAGTACAGAGAAAAAACGTGTTTTATAGTGAATAAAAACAGTCTAGTATGGAAAGCTGGCTTCAAGAGGTGTGGACTCGAGTCAGGAGTCCGAATCAAGTCGTGAACCTTACTTAAGTCTTAACTGAAAATACAATGAAACACCTTGCAACTCAACCTTTACCGTCCCCCAATGACTACTGTTTGGCTAGATATTCTTATCGAGCAAAATATGAAAATCTGAAATAAGTCAATCTTCATTTTTGGATACATTTCAAATCAACCTGACAGCAGACGATACATCTTCGTAAAGAAAGCTAAAGTCAATACAAGGAAAAACAACAGCTTATATTAAAAAATATATTCGGCTTAGAATTGACAAACCATCACAGCAATAACTAACAATGTTTAGTTAATCAGTGAAATATGACATTTGGTGATGTTTTAAAAACAGTCGTTGGATTATATATTTTGTCCCAAACTGACTGTTGCTTTTTTAAACATTTATATAGGATAAGATCGGTCAAATGGCACAAACTGACATGTTTAGGAAAGACAAATGAAAAGGAGTTGGACCTGGTTATGAACTTGTTGGTACTGACTTTATGGTGTGGAGCCTTTCTCTGGATTCACCTGCACTGGGACCTGTCTCCTCACAGGAAATGGGATTGACCTGTTTTTCACATGTTACAAAGGGGTCTTGCCTCTCTTGACTCTGGACTTGTTAGTCTTGATTTGGGACTTTTTGACATAGGACTTGATGCGTTATGTTTCCCTCTTGACCTGGGACTTGACGTTGGTTTCTTAACGTTGATTTACACCTTGAGTCTGGACTTGTTTGCCTTGATATGGGGTTTGATTTAGACCTTGTTGGACTTCTCTTAGGACTTTACTCTGGACTTAACACTGGACTTGTTGGTGTTGATCCTTACTGTTCTTGATTGGTGACCTGACTTGTTGATCATGAGTTGGGACTTACCTGCGACTTGTAAACAAGTGACTCTGTCCCACCTCTGCAGGCAATAATTCCTTTGGTTATTCTTTGATCAGTAAGTCCCCATATATCAATCAAAAATGTGCCGATTACAGTAATCACTGATAATCTTGTGCTTAAAAAAACATTCACAAGTCGAAGAATTTGGCAATTTCTTTAATGGAAACGTTTTCAAATGATAGTTATATATAGGGGAGCAAAAACAATTTGGTATGAGTACCAAAACTTAAATATCTAGTGTTGCAGTGACACCCAGCCCTAGTGATACTTGGCCTTTTGTGTTCTTGGTAAATATCCATGAAGAGTTTCTTTCCAAAACGAGATTGGGTTAAAAAGAGACATTAGGTCTTTATATTTAAGACATTTCCTTGGATTTTAATGTGACGAGCAGCATCTTTCAGCCAAATGCTGCCCTGTGTTTTGGAATGAAGCTTTTCATGGCTCTATGATAATGTGTAGAGATGTTTCTTTCTGTCAGTGCTCTCGGAGATAATGTGCGCTCTGTTTGTCTTGTAGATGTTTTCCCCTCCTGTTGGCAGTGGAAAGAACGGACCGCCGTCCCTGGGGAGCGGACATTTCTCCGGCTCAAGTACGTCAGCTTTTTCTTTATTCCTCTTTCAACCCTCCCTCAGCCCCCTCCCGTCCTTCCTCTTACACCTGCTCTCTGATGCTTCGCTTGCTGTTTGAATGTTCTTCTGAGGGTAACCATGTTCTGCACATGCAGATGCAGATTTGGGTTTTTTTGCTTTGTGGAGTACTTTTTATTTTTAGGAGAGATTTTGCTTAATATACCGTATGCTCATGTTTTCTTTGAATACTCTGTTCTTGTTGAGCTGGTGGTTTTCTGTACTAAAGTTTTAGCCAAAATGTTACGTCACTCAAACAATGAGTTGGCCTGATCTGATTTAAATGGCTTGATTATTGGAAAGCCTATCACTTAATACTTACCTGTCCGTGGCACCCAATCCCAAAACCAATTGATTCCCAATGAAATCTCTAAAGACAGAATACAAATTGATGGTTTTATTTCAAGCAAGTGTCAGTCATTTCCTAAAACAGCAATCGCTGCTCAACTAAATTCTGTTGAAATCCCTTGGGATATTCCTGCATGACGTGTACCTTTTCTACTAGTTTGTACGTGTTAGTTCCTGCTTCATGACGCAGTAACTGATGTAATGTTGGCGTGTACAATACAGCCATAAGACGATGATGTCATGTTTATTTACTTTTGGGCAACAATTATTATCAGCTTCTAAAAATCAACCCCGAAGGAGACTTCCTGTTTTTCAAAGTTCACTGCCCGTGTGTGTGTGTGTGTGTGTTAGTGGTGTTGTGGTGTGTGTGGTGTGCTGTGTGTGTTGTGGGGTGTGTGTGTGTGTGGTGTGTGTGGTGTGTGTGTGTGTGGTGGTGTGTGTGTCTGCAGCTCTTCAAAGTAAATCCACATGCAATTTGATATAGTGCACTAGTAAATGGTGTGTGTGTGTGTGTGTGTGTGTGTGTGTGTGTGTGTGTGTGTGTGTGTGTGTGTGTGTGTGTGTGTGTGTGTGTGTGTGTGTGTGTGTGTGTGTGTGTGTGTGTGTGTGGTGTTGTCAAAAAGTCAGTTCGGTGTAAATGATGGATGAACATGATGGCTTTCTATTTGACATGCTAGTTTGATAAAACTAATATTGGGGGAGGGAGTTGCTAAAGTTGCTTCATGCTAGTGAACCATTATTTTACTAAAACACCAAGGCTTTTATTAAATTGATTCATTCGTCCAGTCAGGCTGTAACTAATCAGTGTGTCAGAGCCTGAACACAGCCTAAATGACTGGCTGGCTTTATCAATCAGACGTTAGCCCTGTGTTGAATCACACATCCATTTGAATGAGGCCAGTTTAAAAATGGCATCTCGGTTCAGCGTCAGAAAGACAGAATGAGACATCTAGCAAAAAGGTTGTGTTTCAGCTAAAAAGTGCAAGCTTACATTTCTTTGTCAATGACTTAATAATGATAGTGCTACAGTTGGGTTGATTAACGGTTTTCCTGGTTCCAGCATTTGTCATTATGATGCGTTCTGGCAAGTAAAAGTAGCCTCCCCAACCTGACGAATGCCTCACTCTGCTCAATCCATCCGGGGTTGCATCAGTTGTGGTCTCAAAACATATTTGAAATAATGTCTATCTGTAAAAGGATGAACTAATCCGTATTAGTGTTGAGGCATTCTACCGCCACTTTCGGACAGCAACAAGTGGGAGAAAACTGAACAGTACAGGGGAGATGAAGAAGATGAGTTCGTTGTGTTTGTTTACTTAAAAGTTCTTTTGTCTTTTGGGTCTTAAAGAATATGGCACCAAAATGGAAAGACTTTCAAATTGAAGATGCTGAAAGAAGTGAGCCAAGGCATAGTCGACGTACATATTGGAGATATGATTGTCAACTTCCTGCTCTCTGTGTCATCTGCAGTTCTATACTGTAGATTACCTCCTTGCAGTGATTGGATATCAGGTTGTAGACCATGATGCATTTCCCTCATTTATTATCAAGCATTTTATCATACTATATGTCTTTTATATTTCACGACATCTTCAGTCTGTATGCAACCATCTGGAGCACTGAGTGATTCTGTCTTAAAATCTTTTCCGGAAGCTCTTCCCATTATCAGCCGGGTCATTTCTGATTCTCCCGCTCGTGTCGTTTGCCTCTAAACGCCGTCGGGAAGCCATTTTGTTTGTTGGCTGTAAAACAGAGAGATGCCACAGACGTCTTCTTTGTTTACTGCTCCGTTGTGCTGTTGTTGTTCTTTGTTCTCTGCGACTTCGGTGCTGTTGTTTGCTCCCTTGCCGTGCATACAAATGGGAGGAAGGACGACAAATGTCCCGATGTGGAACACAAAATAAAGGCCCAGTCTTTGTGGAACCAGTAGCGGTTGTTGGGCCTCAGTTTACGGATGCGATGTGTATCTCTATTTTGTGATTGTTAATTTTTTTGTGATCTTTAGATGCAGCAACTCACACTGGTGTCACATGCACTCATCCCTGTGCACAAATCACATTCTTGTTTCTCGTGCACACACACACACACACACACACACACACACACACACACACACACACACACACACACACACACACACACACACACACAAACACTCTCCTCACCCCTGCTGTGGCTTTCTGCAGGCCTCGGCATTTTGATGAGCCCGGCGCTGTTTGTGAATGCAGCTAATTAGAACTCTATAGACCTACACAACCATGAGAGCAGCGGCTTCCAAAGGCAGGGGCGAGGAGAGAGGCTGGGACATGCCGACACTGAGCCGAGAACACACACACACACGCACACATGCACACACTGAGCTCTGCAACAGTCATGACTTTGGGTTAGAGAAGGTACAAAAAAACCTATTCACCCCTGTTTAGTGATTTTTCTCTATCCTTTTTGTTCAATATCTTAATTTCCTGCATGGGATTCATGTATTGTAACTTGTCTCATCAGTCAATACCAAATTATGTAGGATTTTCAAAACTTAAAACAAAGCGGCGTTGGTTCAATCCATAAACAGAGTTAGCATCTGCTCAGGGGCCACCATGGGACGAAAAGGGGAATAAACCATTTATGACCTTAAGGGTTCAAAAAGTGTTTTGAATTGAGAAGCAACTCTGGAACTCATGATGATGGGTGTTACATGCAGGTGATGCAATTCAAGAACTATAATCAGGGGTGCACACAACTTTCTCAGTGAGGTACTCAGATGAGTACCTGGAGTCACTGTTTGGTACTCCAACTTCTGGCTACCCTCAAAGTTCCCATGAAGCCCTCTGTATCGCGAATGTCAGCGGGGG